CCCACACCAGATGGAAAACTCTACAGACTGTCGGTTCACACCCCATCACAAGCCAGCAAAACATCCACGAAACAAAGAAAGGTCTGTCACAGCCAAAAAATACACTCCAGACACGCCGCTGGCACTAGAGGCACAGCATATATGTGATGTAACACAGCTGAAGCGACAACAACGCCGAGCAAAAGACAAAAGAACAAAGGGGAAACAAGACACAACGTGTGTCCCACGGAAACGCTGCATGGCACCTATTGTTGCTGGGCCCCCAGGCACACCCATCTTTCGGGGGACCGCTTTTTCCTTTTCAAGTGTGAATGATGTAGGTGTAGATTTAGATGTAGATGTGCATGTAGAACTTGACCAGATGCATCGCAGGCACTTTGACGAATCTAGTCCATGTACTGGCTACATACATTATTCCTCATCATGGACATGAGCTAGCGATATCATTACCAAATTGACCACCATAGCTTGTGATTAGTATGATTGTGGATATGGATGGCCATTAGCATGATGATTATTAATTTCTTAAATTATTAATCTATTACCACATCGGATTTTGACTTTGTCCTTTAAAGGTTTGGACTCCTCCTTTGTTGGAAATGGACCTTAAAAAAAAAAAAAAAAAAAAAAAAAAACCCTTAGAAAATGAATTTATTTTTTTGTTGGTCTCATATCTTTCTGACCTATGGTGTGTTGTGGTTATGTGTGCAAATGTGTTGTTAACTTGTTGTTGATTCATTTTGCCATTTTGGGTAATTTCCAGATTCGGGTGTCCGGTTTAACTGTGAAAAACAGCGGATGGGACTTGGATCCTTTGCGATGCGGAAGCGGCGAAAGCGCTGATTGCGAGTCTGTACCGGAAGTGCTCCGGATGCGAGGCTTCCAGACCAGCAAGAAGGATCATCAAGAAGTCGTAGTCGAGAGGCCAGGCGAGCACCTTGTGTCGAACTAACTTTTTGGGAAGATTTTTGTTGGGACACTTTTCATTTTTTGAATTTTTTTTTGTATTCATTCCCGGATCGGGAAAATTTCATAGCAGGTTTTGGATATGCGTTTTTGAATTACAATTTTTTATTATTTTTTCAAGATTTAATAAACAGTAATTCATACTAATTCTGGATGCGTTTTTTTAACTTTTTTAATACAAATTTTCAAGATTGAATGAATAGTAATGTACTAATTTTGGATGCGTTTTTTAATTACAGATTTTCAAGAGTTAAGGAAGAGTAATTTTGGGATGCGTTTTTTTTTAATTACAAATTTTCAAGATTTAATAAAAAATAGTAAGTAGTAAAGTACTAATAATAAGTTCATAAGACCAGTTGTGCCGTTCGGGTGTTTGATCATCTTTGATGCACCATGTGCTGTGCAGTGCATTAAGTATTTTTGCAGGACACCGGAAAACAAATATTTATAAAAACAAAAAAATGAGAGAAACGATTTTCAGTGTAATAAATTCATTTTATTTTATTTTTTTGGTGGGGGGGGGGGTTATAAATTTACACTTTTCTAAGTTTTTTTTTTGAATCTTTTCACTTTTTTTTTTGGTGCATGTGCACCATGCCTCTGCGTGGGGCATTTCACATGTGAAATCATTGCGTTGAAACAGTTTTCACCTTTGGCAGTAGCCGATGCAGATCCCAGGGGTCGATCCCTTGACCTCAGCTTACCTGTGTACAGTATCTGCACAGTTCCCTGGAGTTGAACCCGTGACCTGCACGATAGCCAGTGGTAAGTAGGT